CCACAATGCCTGGCTATTTTTTGGTTGCAGCCGTCATTGTTGTTTGGTGGGCCCAGGCTGGATTCAAACCTGCCACCTTAAGTGTACGTGGCTGGCGCCTTAGCCACTTGAGCCACAGGCGCCGAGCCTCTGCCCTTACTCTTAAAACCCCTGCCCTGTTTTTTACCATGGCACCCTGGTGGCTCTGGCCATGGTCACAACTGTTTGTCCCTTAATCCAGCTGGGTTCCTGGCTGCTGGCTCATCACTGGTACCCTGGGCACCTGGTAAACAAAAGCTCCCTGAACATTTGTTAAATTACTGAAGGCTATAGTGGGAAGCCAGAGGGAAGAAGGGGCTCCCTAAATGGCTGGGCAAATGCTGAGCTGGCACCTGGAGGGAGGAGAAGAGTGGGAACGTGAGAAACAGAAAGGAAATAGCACTCTTATACTCTCACGGTTAGGATTGTAGTTGGAGTAGTAACCAAAGTCATAGTGAATTTTCCATTTCTTGTCTCCCCCTTTCCCAGGTAAGACCAAGAACTCTACCTAAAGTTAATGGCTTAATGCTTAAAATTAATTGCTGCCTTTGTAAATAGAATCTATTGTTAGCTTTCATCACCTGGCAGGCCCCAACTGGTTAGACCAGTTCAGCTTTTCTTGATGTGGTTGTGGTTAAATGTTGTATTTCCAATGAAAACATGTGGAGGCTGTAACACACTTCCAGAGCGCTTGCATCTGTCAGCGCTCCCCATTCCAGATCACTGTTAGCCAGTGAATGGGGTACGGCAGTCCAGAGCCAGATCATCTTACGGAGCGAGGATGAGGGGTACTACCAGTCCAGCAGTACCTAGAAGTAGGTCTGAAATTGAACAGGAGGAATCTCAGGGCAGCTTAGTTCAGGTGGAACAATTCCCAAGTAACTATTTTGTGTTTTCATTTCTACAATTTCTCTGGCAACTTTTCTGGATGATTTGTTTTTGTCGTTGTTTCCTGGGATGGGAAAATGTCAGTGATTGAGGCCACTAATCTGCAGAGTCAAAGGGCCTGGATTTCATCTTGTCCACCACCAGATAGACATGTGGCATTATACAACACACCCAGCAAGCCTGAACCTCAGTCCCCAGGTCTGTAAAGGAGCCACAGTCAGGGGTTGTTAAGTGATTGGCTATCCATGCTGTCCAGGTACAAGGGAATAATAAGCAGCAGTTGTTATTATCCAGGGGCCAAGAGAAAACTTACCTTCATCCTCTGAAGGTTTGTAACAAAAGAAGTGAACAAAAATCTATAACAAAAGGTTGAAAATCTGTAACAAAATGCAGATTATTAGGAGAAAAGACATACAAAATGTATTAATATGCACACATGTACACAAGAGTCACACAATATAGGAACTCCAGATATTGGTATTTACTCTCTTCAAAGAGGAAGGATTGATAAACCCAGAGGTAGGAGACCAACTTTTAGGGAAGGTGAGAGGCAGGGCTATACAGGCTCAAAAGTTGTCTCATGCCTCAGAGATAGTTCCCAGGTAATCTCCTGATGGCTGCTCTGGAGTACAGATGACAAGTCTGTCTGGGCCAGGCAACTCCTAGTCTTTTTTCCTCTCTGGTGGTTGATCTTTCTGGTTATTTGTTGAGATCCCTAGGTAGAATATGTGAGAAAATTGAATTTCTATTGGAAAGGAACTTTCTTGGTCAGATAAGAAAATGAGTCCCTCACTGCACTTGATGGGGAGAATAAGATAAGACTAGAGGGATGCTTGATGCTCCTCTAAGGCCTCAAAATACCAGAATTGCGGGTATCAGCTTCTGAATCCCAACATTGTCATTATATATGATTTAAAGATTGCACCACTGTTGTAACAATACATCCCACTCTACCTTTGTATTTAAATTGCAGGGTGCCTAAATGAGGGTGTCTCTAGCCAAGCCCTTTTTAACATGTTCCAGCTGTCTTATATCCATGTCCATGGTTGTGTAGATTCTCTTATCAGGCCATGCCTGAGGGCCAAGTGCATTTCTAAAATAGATCATGGATCATGTTAGCCAGGTGCAGTGGCACATGCCTTAGTTCCAGCTACTCAGGAGGTTAAGGCAGAAGGATTGCTTAAGGCCCAGGAGTTTGAGGCAGCAGTGAGCTATGATCAGGTCAGTGTATTCCAGCCTGGGCAACAGAGTAAGACCCAACTCTAAAAAATAAATAAATTGGCTGAGTGTGGTGGCTTACACGTGTAATCTCAGCCCTTTGAGAGATTGAGGTGGGAGGATTGCTTGAGCCCAAGAGTTCAAGGCTACAATGATTATAAGGCCACTGTAATCCAGTCTGGAGAACAGAACGAGGCCCTGTCTCTAAAAAATAAATCAATAAATATGAAGGAAAAAAGAGCATGCCTATTAGTTCTATCCTACACTGCCTCTGTAATTGCTTCAGGTAAGCTAAGAGTTTCAGAACTGATCACAGCTTGCTTGCTTCTACACTACAGCATATAAATACAGGTACCTACAATCCAGAGGCAGGACACCCCCAAGCCCACACCCCTTGTAATACCTTGGAATTCTAAAGCAGTTGGTGAAACAAAATTGAATTCCCTAAGCTGAAAAAAAACTATTTATTTTTATTTTTATTTTTATTTTGAGACAGAGTCTCACTAAGTCACCCTTGGTAGAGCGCCGTGGCATCACATTTCACAGCAACCTCAAACTCTTCAGCTTAAGAGATTCTCTTGCCTCAGCCTCCCAAGTAGCTGGGACTACAGATGCCCACCACAACACCCAGTTATTTTTTTGTTGTTGTTGTCACTGTTGGGTAGGCCTAGCTGGGTTCCAACTCACCAGCCCCAGTGCATGTGGCCAGTGCCCTAACCACTGAGCTACGGGTGCTGAGCCGAGAAAAAAATTTGTATGCTGATGTTTGTAGCAGCACTATTCATAATGCCAAGAAGTAGAAACAACTCAGCTGTCCCTCAACTGACAAATGGATAAACAAACATGTCTGCCCACACAATGGGATATTATTCAGCCTTCAAAAGAACAAAGCACAACATTGGATAAATCTAGAAAACATGCTGAGCAAAAAGAAGCCAGTCACAAAAGGACAAATATATGACTCCATCTATGTGAAATACCTAGAATAGGCAAATCTGAAGACAGCAAGCAGGTTGGAGGTTATCAGGGATTGGGGGAGGAGGAATGAAGAGTGACTACTGATGAGTACAGAGTTTCTACTGGGGCAGTAAAAAAGTTTTGGAAATAGCTAGTGGTGATGGTTGCACAACACTATGAATGAATGTTATGAATGCCACAGAACTGTATATTTTTTTAGAGGCAGGGTCTCCGTCATTCAAGCTGCAGTATAGTTGTGTCATAGCTCACTAAAAGCTTGAACTCCTAAGCTCAAGAGACCCTCCCACCTTAGCTTCCCAAGTAGCTAGAACTACAGGTGCATCTCACCATGCCTAATTCTTTTTTTTTTTTT